TTTACCAATTTACACAAATTAAAAAGATCCCAAATTTTCAAAAGGGTCCGAAAAACAAGGCAGATTTTCCGGCACAAACTAACATTTTTTTGTTCATTAGCCGTCTCCAAGCTTTCCTTTTTAAATTTTTTTATTCACAAAAAAATAGAAGATTTACTGTTATGCGATTGCATTTTTAAAAAATTTGTATAAAAAAGTCAACCCTTCATGATGTGTATTAGACTGGCCATTGGACATATACTGGAAGTGAAAACATTTGTTTACTCTGGAATATCGGCAAAAATCAAACAGTTCTGCAAATTTTAGCTCAATTTCAAGGTCCTTTTCATTGTGAAACCAATAAAAATCATCTCCATTTCTGTAATGTATCTTCCACTCTATCAAAGGGGCCCAAAAGAAAACGAGAATACAACCATAAATACCATACAAAAATACACCACAAAGTCGCTATTTGAAACCAAAAACACGGTCTGTTTTTTTTTTTTTCTCATTATGCACTGCAATGCTGTAAGGTTTTTTTTTATACTAAGGACACTGGCCATGCAGACCCATTCTTTCATATTTTAGGCCTACCAGCTTTCTTCCACCAGATTTGAAGGAGCTGAATTCTGGTGTATATTACAAGACCCAACACTGAAAGAGTTAAGTAAGATAAGAAATGCACAATGGTGGACTTACTCAGCTCTTCAGCAAGCATCACACTCGACCAGTCAGTAACTGCTCTTTCTTCTCACGGTCACATCCATACTCTTCTAAACTTCCTTAATCTCTTTTTCTAATCGTCTTGCTGTACGGAGAAGGGGTTTTAATACATATGAATAAGAGGGAATGTTATCCAGTAACGAGATGAATGCTCAAATACATGTAATATTTTTGCTTGCAAAACATGAAAGTTAAGTACAAAAATTTATTGTACTACTTTCTGATTCAAGTTTATGAAGAGCAACCTGTGGGTATAACCTTTATGATCCAATAACAGACTGTCAGATCACTTTTTCAACCAATCAGTCACCTGTTTACGTTCTCCTGCACAACTGAATTGCTTTGCTGTTTCAGGGTGCAGGCCACCTCCATTTTAACAGCCTTGCACAGGATACACTTGATGAGTTTCAAGTCTTTTTACTCATGAAACTTTGTACAGAAAGTAGATTGTCATACTTCAAAACTTTATAGTGTGCTTGGGCTCCATGAACCCATTAATCAGAAATGTTACCACTATTATTTCAAAATCATGGCAAAGGCAGCTAAAAGATCTTAAGGATATTAAAAATGCAAGGCACTGAGACAGGTAACTCTAAACTTAAAAACAGGGGCAATTTATAAGCCAAAATGCTAAACAGACAACAGTGTGGCTAAAATTTAAAGAGGACCTCTTACACAAGCCTTGGGCAAAAACCTGACTGAAGTAGGGACTGGATTACTCTCTTTTCCCTATTTGCCCAAGAATTCTGATTACTGTAAATACACGCATACAAATGAGCAGGTAGAACAATACAAGCATCATTTTGTAATCTTGCACATGCACCATGAACCCACTCATGGTTATGAAGAACTGTCAATACCAGATTTTAAAATTGATCAAGTCTAGATTTGGTGCCTAGTTGAACAGTCATCTGGTTATATTACTACCCATTTTTACATCTGAATCCCCAAATCTTAGAGCTTTGATTATACAAAGTTTTTATTCAAGGACTTCCTGTCAATAACTTTATTTGTTACTATCTTTTTTCACCATGAATGACCTCAAAACATTTAAAATGCGCTCAGTGGATTTCCCATGCCCAAATCTCTTTTTCTTAAGAATATTAATATTAACCATACTAAAGAAATATTTAATAAGACAAATAATAAATCATAGAATTGTTTTAGTCGTTCTTATTTACTGCTAAATACTGAAGAATAGCTCAAAAGTAAAATACAGCATTTCATAAAACAAAATTCATTTGACAAGTTAGAGAGAGAAACATACCTTCCCGGTTCATGACTTGTTGTCTCAGTGCATTGGCTGTAATTTTGATCATCTGCTGTATCCTCCAGAATAATACAACATCATTGCACTCCACCTTAACAAGGGTTCACATTAATTATGTAAATATCAAAGCAAATAAAGCATTATTATTCTATGCACAAGATAAAGTTATTTAATGCAGTTACTTTGAAATGGTAAGTGTTAAAATTATGTAACTGAGTCTACATACTACTGTAATACAATACTGCACATGAGACAAGCAAAAATGATATACTAACTCCTAATTCTCCCTCCAGCCCTTGATGGTAGGCATAGAAAGATTTTCGGCAGTCATAAGCCTTTGCTAGGGCACGGCGGAGAAAATGTCTTCGATAAACTGGGTACCAAGTTTCCCTTATAAATTCATTATCAACTTCAACACCATGGTTTTGGGAATTTTTCCGTACTGTTGTTACTTCATCGTAGCTAAGTGTATTCTTGTGTGCCTGTAAATAAGCATTTAATTAATTATTATTATTACTATTTATTATCACACTGGCCGATTCCCACCAAGGCAGGGTGGCCCGAAAAAGAAAAACTTTCACCATCATTCACTCCATCACTGTCTTGCCAGAAGGGTGCTTTACACTACAGTTTTTAAACTGCAACATTAACACCCTTCCTTCAGAGTGCAGGCACTGTACTTCCCATCTCCAGGACTCAAGTCCGGCCTGCCGGTTTCCCTGAACCCCTTCATAAATGTTACTTTACTCACACTCCAACAGCACGTCAAGTATTAAAAACCATTTGTCTCCATTCACTCCTATCAAACATGCTCACGCATGCCTGCTGGAAGTCCAAGCCCCTGCAAAACCAAACCTCCTTTCCCCCCTCCCTCCAACCTTTCCTAGGCCCCCCCTCCCCCGCCTTCCTTCCATAAGATGATACACTCTTGAAGTCCTTGTTTAGCTCCTTCTCTCTAATGTCGAACCACCCAAAAACCCTTCCTCACCCCTTGGGAAAAACTTTTTTGGTACCCCCGAACCCCCTTAAATTTCCCAAAACTAGAATTCTCTGCATTATATTACCCAACATTGCCCTCAGACATGACTTCTCCACTGCCTCCCCTTCTCCTCGCTGCAACATTCATCACCCATGCTTACCCCCCCTTTAAAAGGGGCGTTGGTAAAAATACTCTCTACTTCCCCTTTTTCCCTCCAAAGGCCCAAATTTCTTTGTCTCCACAGACTCCAAGTGCACCACTCCCCCTTTTTCCCCCTCTCAATTTAGTTTTCACCTCATCTTTCATAGACCCATCCGCTGACCTCACTCCCAAATATGAATCATTCCCCTCCCCCTACTCTTCCCCCCAAAATCGATATCCAATCTTTCCACCTAATCTTTTTGTCACCCCCAAAACCCTTTACTCTTTCCTGTTTCACTTTTAATTTTTCTTTTTTTGCACCCCCTACCAAATTCATCCACCAATCTCTGCAACTTCCTTCAGAATCTCCAAGGCACATGTCATCACAAAAAACAATTTTGACAACTCCCACTTTAGTCTGATTCTTTATTTTTTAAACCCCCACCCCTCTTGCGAAGACCCCGCATTTATTCTTTTAAAAACCCCATTATAAATTTTTAAACAACAAGTACATCACACACCCTTGTCTAAGGCCTACTTTTACGGGGAAATAATTTCCCTCTTTCCTACATACTCTAATTTGACCTCACATCCCGTAAAAACTCTTCACTGCTTTCAGTAACCTACCTCCTACCCATACACCTGCAACATCTCCCCATTGCCCCCCTTTCCACCTGTCATACCCTTTTCCAAAACCATAAATCCACAAAGCCTTTTAGCCCTTTTCAAAACTTTTCCTATATGTTTCACTGTAAAAAACCGGGCCACACCCCCCCTTTCCTAAAGCCTCCTTGTTCATTGCTATCCCCTTTTTCCGTTTACCTTTAATTTTTTCAATAATAATTACCCAAAACTTTTCCAGGTAACTCAACAGTTTTTCCCCCTATATTTTGCACTCTCTTTTTTACCTTTGTTTTATACAAAGGAACTATGCATGCTTTCTGCCCAACCCCAGGTACCTTACCCCCCTTCCCCTATTTTTTAAAAAACTGCACCAACCACTCCAAAAAATATATCCCCACCCCGCTTTTAAAAATTTCTATTTTATCCCTCAATCCCGGCTGCCTTTCCCCCTTTCATTTTACCTATGCCCCAGAATTCCCCCACACTCAAAAATTGGGTCTTCCTCACTCCCACAAGGTTATTCCCCCTTGCCCATACACAAAATCACAGCTTCCCTATCTTCTTTAAATTTAACAAAAACCAAAAAAATTTTCCCCCCATTTCCCAATACCTCTAACTCTCCATTAAAAACTTCCTCTCCTATTTTTAATGACAAACCATTTGTTTTCTAGGCTTTTTTAATTTTTTAATCTACTCCAAAACTTTTTCTTTTTTCAACAAATTTTTTTGATAACATCCACCCACCTCTAATTTTTCTCTCTTTTTTAAATTTCTTCACCACTCTCTTAAACCCTTCTTTTTCTCCATATACTTTTTCCTTGCATCACTTTACTTTGTAAAAATTCTCATATGTAACTTTTTTCCTTACACTCTCTTTACAATCATTCCCACCAATCGTCCTTTTCCCCTCCCACACCCATTTTCCTGTAACCACAAACTTCTGCTGAACACTCTAAAAACCTTTTTTTAAAAACCTAACCCTTACCTTTCGCCCCCTTTGCCTTTCTCCATTAGCCCATCTATCCTCCAATAGCGTTATATCTTACCCTAACTCCCCTCCTCTTTTATTTATAAAACCTTCACCTCTCTTTTCCCCTGATGCTTCTTTTCTCCTTGTATCCATCTACCTTTTACTCTCAGTGAGCACAACTAAAAAGTATCTTTAATCTGGGGCCCCCTCTATAAACATGTACACCCTAAGTCTACTCAACAGTTTTTTATCTCTAAAATAATCCAACAAATACTGTCATTTCCCCCTACATCATATTTGTTACTTATTTTTTCCCTTTTTCTTAAAAATGTAAAACCCTATAATAAACCCCTTTCTTTTACAAAGTTCAATAAAGGGCTCCCATTATTATTTACCCCCGGCACTCCAAACTTACCTGCCACACCCTCTCTAAAAGTTTTTCCTACTTTAGCATTCAGGTCCCCTACCACAATTACTCTCACTTGGTTCAAAGGCTCCTATACATACACTTAACATCTCCCAAAATCTCTCTCTCTCCTCTACATTCCTCTCTTCTCCAGGTGTATACACGCTTATTATGACCCACTTTTCGCATCCAACCTTTACTTTGATCCACATAATTCTTGAATTTACACATTCATATTCTCTTTTCTCCTTCCATAACTGATCCTTCAACATTACTGCTACCCCTTCCTTTGCTCTAACTCTCTCAGATACTCCAGATTTAATCCCATTTATTTCCCCCCACCGAAACTCCCCTACCCCCTTCAGCTTTGTTTCGCTTAGGGCCAGGACATCCAACTTCTTTTCATTCATAACATCAGCAATCATCTGTTTCTTGTCATCTGCACTACATCCACGCACCTTCAAGCATCCCAGTTTTATAAAGTTTTTCTTCTTCTCTTTTTTAGTAAATATCTACTGGAGAAGGGGTTACTAGCCCATTGCTCCCGGCATTTTAGTCACCTCATACAACACGCATGGCTTACGGAGGAAAGATTTTTTCCACTTCCCCATGGACAATAGAAGAAATAAAGAAGAACAAGAGCTATTTAGAAAAAGGAGAAAAAACCTAGATGTATGTATATATATATGCATGTGTGTGTCTGTGAAGTGTGACCAAAGTGTAAGTAGGAGTAGCAAGATATGCCTGTTATCTAGCGTGTTTATGAGACAGAAAAAGAAACCAACAATCCTACCATCATGCAAAACAGTTACAGGTTTCTGTTTCACAGTCATCTGGCAGGACAGTAGTACTTCCCTGGGTGGTTGCTGTCTACCAACCTACTACCTATAATTAATTAATTATAACAGAAAAATGATTTTACAAGACCCCCATTCAAAATTCTAAATATTTATATTAACAACTGCATAAAATTTTTTATGAGAATTGCCTAAATGATTTTATACAGATTTTAAAATTAACCTGCTAGAGCAACTAATGACCCAATAAATCAGTTAAATTTCTTAGCCAATACATGCCTTTAACCCTTAAACTGCCCAAACATAGATCTACGTCCACGTGTGTGTGGGGGGGGGCACTCCGAATGTAGATCTACTTTTTTTTTTTTACATGCTTTCAAATGGGGAAAATCAAGGTTGGAGCGCTACACACGTGAATGTAGATCTACGTTTGGACAGTTTAACCCTTAAACGATCCAAACGTATATATACGTTCCCTCGTGTAGTGCCCCAAACGTATATATACGTTTTATTTGTCATTCATTCAACACTGGCACGATAGGCCTGAGTCGCCTAGACATGAGAGAATGGGTGTGCGCACTCAGTGTGTGCCATATGAAAAAAAAATTGGGGATGCCTGGGTACCACATGCTCTTTTTTCTTATAAAAAAAAAAAAAAAATTTCTCAAAATATTCGGGGCGCTACGCAAGAGAATGTATATATACGTTTGGACCGTTTAAGGGTTAAGATCTGTATATTCCAAAGAATCTAACAACAGCAGCTACAATGGCAGCAGTTGCCAGTGCCTCCTCCTCCACTCCATCTTTGACTCCAAGAAGAAGAGAAAAAAACTTACATAGTCAGAGATTAGGAGCTTTTCCAGCTCTGTTTTAACAGCAGCTCTATTTCTTTGATCATCAGTTAGGTAGCACCAGTACATCCACTGCTCCTTGGTGCTCGGTCCAACCATTTCCCTGATGTGGATAACAATAATTTCATCTAAAGATTAGGATAAAATTATGACATATAAATAGGTAATGAAAATTATTTGCTTCTATTTAATTTGATCATTCTTCCTCATATACAGTACAAAGCCCCTCAACACAAACAAACAAAAAAATTTCTGATAAATGCCTCAATCACATCGACCAACTAAGTTAATAAAGAGGATTTGGTTGTAGGAATCTTTGATAAAAGTTATTTACAAATTCTTTTGAGGAAAAATACTGAATATTTTGATGTTTAAACCAATTTTGTTAAGAGTGAATTTTAGGTTAGTCTTCAGTAACAATTTTCCCATATGTTTAATACTTTTCCCAATGCTGCTCCACCTACTGTTCTCACTTCTTGGAAATGAACTTAACAATTTCAGGGTTTCCGACATACTAGTATGGCACAAACCACTCCAAAACTATATCCCCACCTGTTTTTAACATTTCTATCTCTATCCCATCAATCCCGGCTGCCTTACCCCCTTTCATTTTACCCACTGCCTCACGAACTTCCCCCACACTCACAACTGGCTCTTCCTAACATCTTGTAGGAGTGAGGAAGAGCCAGTTGTTAGTGTGGGGGAAGTTCGTGAGGCAGTGGGTAAAATGAAAGGGGGTAAGGCAGCCGGGATTGATGGGATAAAGATAGAAATGTTAAAAGCAGGTGGGAATATAGTTTTGGAGTGGTTGGTGCAATTATTTAATAGATGTATGGAAGAGGGTAAGGTACCTAGGGATTGGCAGAGAGCATGCATAGTTCTTTTGAATAAAGGCAAAGGGGACAAAAGAGAGTGCAAAAATTATAGGGGGATAAGTCTGTTGAGTATACCTGGTAAAGTGTATGGTAGAGTTATTATTGAAAGAATTAAGAGAAAGATGGAGAATAGGATAGCAGATGAACAAGGAGGCTTTAGGAAGGGTAGGGGGTGTGTGGACAGGTGTTTACAGTGAAACATATAAGTGAACAGTATTTAGATAAGGCTAAAGAGGTCTTTGTGGCATTTATGGATTTGGAAAAGGGGTATGACAGGGTGGATAGGGGGGCAATGTGGCAGATGTTGCAGGTGTATGGTGTAGGAGGTAGGTTACTGAAAGCAGTGACGAGTTTTTACGAGGATAGTTAGAGTATGTAGGAAAGAGGGAAATTATTTCCCAGTAAAAGTAGGCCTTAGACAAGGATGTGTGATGTCACCGTGGTTGTTTAATATATTTATAGATGGGGTTGTAAGAGAAGTAAATGTGAGGGTCTTGGCAAGAGGGGTGGAGTTAAAAGATAAAGAATCACACATAAAGTGGGAGTTGTCACAGTTGCTCTTTGCTGATGACACTGTGCTCTTGGGAGATTCTGAAGAGAAGTTGCAGAGATTGGTGGATGAATTTGGAAGGGTGTGCAAAAGAAGAAAATTAAAAGTGAATACAGGAAAGAGTAAGGTTATGAGGATAACAAAAAGATTAGGTAATGAAAGATTGGATATCAGATTGGAGGGAGAGTATGGAGGAGGTGAAATGTATTCAGATATTTGGGAGTGGACGTGTCAGCGGATGGGTCTAGAAAGATGAGGTGAATCATAGAATTGATGAGGGGAAAAGGGTGATTTGGTGCACTTAGGAGTCTGAGAACAAAGCACTTGTCCTTGAGGCAAAGAGGAATGTAAGAGAAAGGTATATTTTAACCAACGCTCTTTTAAAGGGTGTGAAGCATGGGTGCTGAAAGTTGCAGCGAAGGAGAAGGCTGGAGCAGTGAGAGTCATGTCTGAGGCAATGTGTGGTTTGAATATAATGCAGAGAATTCGATTTGGAAGTTGGAGGAGTGCGGGATTAAACACAAAACTGTTGTCAGAGGGCTGAGGAAGGTTGTATGAGTGGTTCGGACATGTAGAGAAATGGAGCGAAACAGAGTGACATCAAGAGTGTATAAGTAAGTAAGTTAATAAATTTCTTCAGTATACACAATACAGTTACATAGAATTATCATACATAGCATCATATGTGTAGAGGAAACCTAGGATATCCCAACAAAGTCAGACAGTGTGACCTTAAATTCATTGGGGTCCTTATTAACTTATTAATTAAAATATAAAGTATAATATTTTCTATTATCCTATAATGAAGATAAAACAATCCCTTATTAATCATACTAAAAAGACTATCTACAACACGAGGGTCCATTAAGACTATCTACAATACGAGGTCATTAAGACTATCTACTGACCCGAGGTTCATTACACGATCTACAATACAGGGTCATTACAAGGATAAAGAAAAATTATACACGTATTTTAGCTAAAAAATAGAAACATCCCCTCCCTATCTGTTGCTGCTTCATTCATCATACACTTTTTGGCATTCTTCTTGAACTGGTTCAAGCTATGACTGGCCTTGACATTTGTGGGTAGTCCTGTTCCATTCCGTATTTGCTGTACAATAAAAAGGTGTTTGAAGCCTGGCACTGACTGTGGGTACTACAAAAGTTGTGCTCACTCCCCCCCTCTCCCCACTAGGTACTAAGATTGCTTGTTCCCACCCTAGACAAAATTGACAGCAAGATATTCTGGACACGGTTCGTGAGCAATTTTATAAACATGATTTAGCTTCAGTTGTTTTAACTCCTGTCTTCAACATTCAGCATAACCAACTGCTGTAATTCATCTGCCTACATGTTTCTCTTGGGTCCCCAGCCCAGGGGGATGAAATCTTATAACGATTTTGTTCTGGGTGATTTGCAGTCTATCTTTTCAGTTTTTTGTATCAAGGCAGAGTACCAAGAAGAGCAAGCGTAATCCATAGCATTGTATAAGGCTAGACATAGGGACCCTGCGAGCCTCAGTAGTAACACTGTGCTTGTCTATACAGGAACTTCACCTGGCATTCGCTTTCTTTACTACACTGTTCCTATCAATTCTCCTGACATGCTGGGTCAAGGGATTCCCAGATATTAACTGATGAAACCAAAGTGATGGACTCCCCATTACACTGAACATTAAAATTATTTACCCTTCTCAGTTTTATGTTTCGTTTCAAAGAGAATGCTTCAGTTTTCCCTAGGTGTAATGATAGTTTGATGTCCTACTAACCATTTTGCTGCAGGACTCCAGTTCCAGTTTTAAAACATTAGCAATATCACTTGTGGGTCTTTACCTGTCACAAACAGAGCACTGTCATCTGCATAAAGTAGAGTTTTGCACTTGACACTGATAGGTCATATCTTGACATAACATAAGAATAGTAAGGGACCCCAGTATACTACCTGGGGAACTCCACATGTTATCGGCTGGGGTTTCTGATTCCGTTTTGTTCTTTTAGACTATTTGTCTCCTGTTGCTAAGGTAGGACTTAAACCATTCTACAGAACCTATACCGTAGCTTGAGTTTTCTTACATAATAATGTGTTGACAGTATCGAAGGCCTTTGCAGGTCTAAGGTTACCATACCTAAAGTTTCCCTTTTTGACATTCAGTTCTCAGGTAATCCATCAGATTAATAAGGGAGGTATCGGTTGAGTAGGATCTTCTAAAGCCCGATTGATAGCTATGGAGAATGCTGTTTTGTCATTAAGGTATTAACTACTTGAGAATACACCGCCCTCTATCCAAATTTAGATATTATACTGAGTATACTAACAGTGTCTATAAGTGGCTTACATCAGACCTATTATTTTTCTTGAAGATGTAGGAGTAACTCTGGCCTCCTTGAACCCTCCGTACGGTATTAGTGTGATTGATAGATTTATTATGTGAGCAATAGGATTGACAGTTCAGAAGCACAACCATCTATTAGGAACTTAGACGGGATGGTTAATCAGGGCCTGTGCTCTTAGTTTGGGTTTAACCTGCTTAGTTCTTTTTGAATGAAGTCCATGAGATACACTTACAAGTTGACAACTGTATGGTGAGTTACCCCTTTATTGGTATAGTATGTTTGAAACTTATCAGACTGTGTTTAAGGGTATTTGATGCAGCTGGTAGTTTACTTACTAGTGTTGATGCATACAGATGTGTAGTAGGAATTAAAGCAATTTGCCACCTTAGATGTTTTCGTGGCCTACCTCATTATCGATAGTGAGTACTATGTTAAGACCTATCTATGGCATATGGCCTATTACCCCAAACTGTTTTAGGTTTGTTTTGCCAGAGCTTTCTGGGGTTATGCTAATATCATCAATTATTGAGCAATAAGTGCTTTGCCTTTCTCCTTTTATAAGCCTCTGTACCTCTGTTCCCTCACCCTTTGGAATTCATTTAAGTGCTGCAATACCTGTCTTTGCTTTAAATCTTTTTAGCAGCTGGTCTTGAATTTCATATTATCTAATATCTCATAGTCATCCAGGTTTCCAGTTCTTCGTTTAATCTAACCTCTTTAACTGTGCAATATTATAAAGATGGTAGTGAACCCATTGGTTTTGAATTTTTCTCCCAGCATCGTTTTACATCCTGCAACTTGTTATCTCTGTCCATACAATTGTACCTATTTACCCCCTCCAAGGGTGGGGGGGTTTTTCTTACTGTAGTTTCTAGTTGGACCCGTCATTTTATTGACCTGTTGAAGGCCTATCCTAACCTAGTGATTTCCTGGTGCAGTACATGATGAAATGATCACTAAGACCTGTGGTAAGACGCACTGACTGACTAAATGTTCTCAGCCGGATTGCAAAGAAGTGGTCAATTATGGTGGCTGAGAACTGTGTATCCTTGGTTTTATTAATTAGTTGGGTGTAGCTATTTAATTCCTAGAATTTGCTTATACCTTTTGCATAGCCCCGTTATATTATGTTGCTGAAACAGATATTGAAGTCGCCCAGTATTATTTGTTATCGCAATTGCTTCAACTCCGGACAAGACTCTGGAAAGTCTTCTAAGAACGGTCCCTGGGTAGGAGGGCGGTAACAGTTCTTACTAGATGGGTTTTGGGGGGGTCTTGGGAAGCAGCACTTCACACCATAGAATCTCCAGTTTTTGGTTTATTTAAATCAGGTCTTGGGGTGTAAGCTAGTCATTTCTAATGTAGCAC